AATATTTCTCTTTTCGCCCCCCCCCCCCCAATTTATCCTGAACATACATATACAACATAGTACTCGAGTAGTTCTTATGATTCAAGTTTGCTCCAGTACCTTACAGAAAGTACATCTATTTTGAAGATTAAACCACAGCTGAACTTCAATCATAGACATACTCAAAAACCACAACAACCCAACCAACAACAAAAAAAGAAAACATGCCCAAAACTTCGTTCTATCTGTACTTCAGATAACTTTACAGAATTTAAAAGTACAGTTGTTACCAGTGTATCTCACTTGGGCAATGTATCCAAATGACTAACCGTACAAAATTTGAGAAAATTATTAACTGTTGAAGTCTTATTGATTACATCACCTTTAGAAAGGGCATGCTCATTAATACTTTGCTAAAAAGGACAATTTAAAATGCTTATTTTGTGTTTGTGTGCATTATTGCAGTTTGCCTTTGAAAGCACGATGTTTGGATTTTACTTCTCATAGAATGGCTCATCACCTTTATATAAAGCATTCCTGAACTTTTTTGTGCACACACACACATATCTTTACATAAAGGGTAAAGAACATTGTTGTACACAGACTTGATAAGTGTTATAATGAAAAAAATAGTGTAATTTCATATTCTGTAGTGAAGGATTACAAAATTAGTGCAGTAATTCAAATAGATCTTTACAGAAAAACTAATTTCAAATCCAGGCCCTGTTCATTTGTGACAAAGTAAAGCAGAAGCTTTAAGAAGCTACATAGATGGTAGAAAATACACATTTTTCTCATGTTGCTGAAATAGAAGAAGGAACTGCTAAGAGTTTATTATAAACCCAAAGAATTAATGCAGTTCCATGCATTACGGAGAAAGCCGTAAACTAAACAATATGATACATGATCACAATGCTTCAGCGTTTTAAGAAGCAAGCTGCATTGTCCTTCTGAAGATGTTTGGTACCTCATTCAAACAGCCCTCCTTGTTTAGGTTGCTTAAAAAGGGCACCTAAACTGTAAGTCTTGACAGTGAATAATTAGTGTTACGATTCTACTTTCTACTAAATAAGAATTTAGGTCTCTCTCTATATTTTTTTTCCTGGAGAAGAGCAGAGGCTTGTTTTTCTGCTGGATGTGGAACAGTACTTATTGCCCAATACTGTTTTGCTTGAAAGAAAGCTCTTTTGGACAAAACCCAAATCAGAGTAAGTTGCAGAGGAAGTACACAATTCTTCTATGTTCTTAAACCTCTCTGAAATTCCTTCAGAGCTTTTCTCTAAGGAATGGAAGGGTGGTATCGCTTGCTCATGTCTTATTACAGACCAATCTCCACCTTCATCTAGTGATTATGTTTAGTGATACCACTAAAATTAGGTTAAAAGAGCAGTCTGGAGATAAAGCCAGCATTTTTCAGAAGCAAGGAGCAGGCCATGATGAGATTCCAAAATTTAAGATCCTATGCCACAGCAAGCTACTGCAGAAGCCTGAAGCTTCTCTTAATTTAAGACTCTTTAATATTGCCCAAAATAATAATTATTAGTAAGTAAGGAAGATGGTGCTCCATTAGTCTCTGGAAAGATAACTCAATAACCTCATCATACAGTTGATGATGGAAGGGAAGCAGATAGCAGAGAGGGGAAAAGGAAACCTAAAAGTTCTTTTCTATTTAATGTCAGTGAAAAAATTACTTCAGCTATTGTTTTGTTTTGACTTTTTTTTTCTCAGCAGACTTTAAAAGCAGAAACTGTCCTTAACGCTTTCTTCCACCAAGGCATATACCAAGCATAAAGATTACAAAATATGCTGATACTTACATATTGGTCATAGAACAAGCTAATGTATATATCAATGAATTCTAAAAATTATTTTGGCAGCATTTGCTGTGTAGTGGTTATAAAAATCAGCCTGTCCTTTTCTGTTGTGTTCCTCTGCATCCCATTTTGAAATGCTGGTTCTGACAAACAGCAAAACACAAGCAGCAATTTTCCATGCAAAATTTCTGGGAGGTGGAAATGACCTATTTTTCAATGCACTCCAGATTAACTGTGAGATCAGTTTCCTTGAACAGGGGCTGGAAAAACTTAAAGAATTATCACTAGAAGTCCCTTTGTTAGGATGTTTAAGTCTCAATCACAGAAACAAGAGTTTGACAATAATTCAGTAAAATAAGAGGTTTCTCTAATGTGTGCCCTACGAGAACAAGTATTTTCTACTTCACCTACAAGATTTGACTGTACAGTAAGAATAGGGCAAATCAATTCACAGTTACCAAGTCCAGCATATGCCTTCATAGCAGGAAAAGGCTACTGTAAGAACAGACAGCACTCAAGAAAAAAAAAATAATCACAATTTTTTTGGAAAATGTATATTGACTGAGACATAGAACATTATATCCCAAAAATCACAATTTCAAATATTAGCAGAACATAATTTAAGCACCCAAAAGTTGACAAATGGCAGAACCACGCTTGTATATCTCATTATAATTCCTCTCATTATTTTTAACACATTATTTAACTATAAGATCAGATATTACTTTTCCTTATTCAGTGCACAGAAAACACCATTGAATATTTAACATTAAGCATTTTTTTCTTATCACCATTCACAATGTTGACTTCTGCTTTATTTATTCTAAATAAAACCTATTGTATTATATAGCCTATTCTAAGCAAATCGTATTATAAAAACACATTATTAACTTCTGTCTAAGACTGTCTTGAGATGCTTGGTGCAATATTATCTGAATGCTACACAAACATTAAATTTATTTTGACAACTTTACTATGAGTCGATGGTATTGGCTTTATTTTGCTGATGGAAACCAAAGCACAGTACCTCAGTCAGATGCACCAATTTTTAGGTGCCCAATTTGATAAGCTGTGAAACTACATTATTCAGCATATTTGATATTAAATCGTCCTTTTCATTTTTTGAAACAAAGTTTCCACTGGCTTCGTTTCCAGCTAGAAGTACTTACACTTTTCAAGCCAAAACTTGTAGATTTCAGCTCAAATACCCAGGAGACAAAGCAGAAATCATTACCAGTCAATTTTGACAGCTGTGATTTAAACGGTTTGCCTAAAGCAGAAATTCAGTTACAGGGCAGAATGCAGGTCCCCAAGCAGCACTCATCTGCTGAAGCCGTAAAAAACACTTTCATTATCAGTTTCACCCACTGATGCCTTTCTTTCAACATGTGGTGTAAACAGTCTTCACCACACACCCCTGACTCATGGTTTGTAATGTGCACTGAGTGAGGAAGAAGATCCCATGGAACATGTAATTAAATACTAATAACGGATTCCGCAGTTTACCAATATTTAAAAATGTACTTGGTATCAGAAGTGTGCTGAATTTTCATTTTGGCTTCTACCCTCACCCATAGAGAAACTGTCTCCAGAAATCTCTATTCCCTAACAAGGTCCTTTCCAGACACTATCCTTTCAAATTACACTAGTTTTCTCTACCTGTTCCTACTTCCTTACCCCAGCCTGCTCCCCTTGCTTACTCACAGTTCAAGTCTTTAACTTGTGTTCCAGCCTTTGCCCCCTCCTCTGATCTACTTCAAGATCTTTTTAAGCTCAGGACCCTCCACCAACACTTCCTTTCCATGCTATGCACAAAGACCTTTTCTAACTTTGATCACCATCCCTACCCTCTCCGGCCAAACAGTATCAGCCTGCTCCCTCTAAATTATCTTCTTCTGCCCCTACTCCCAGCCCCTGTGCCTTGCACCATAAAATCAGTCACATAAGCAGCATTTTTAGCACATTTCCAGATACCACCAATCTTACAAAATAGATTGAAAATGCTTTTCTGAGAGAGCCCACACTCCCAATGCAGAGCACATTTTAAGAAGATAAAGTACTATTGCTTAATATGGTGAACTATCACATACCTTTGCTTTTCTGTTTCAGCCTTTATTTCCTCTGTAAAATGAAACAAAGGCATAGTTACGGAAATGGAAGAAGAATCATAAATATAAAATAAAATAACTGAAAATTATTGGAAAGCCAAACTATCTAGGTAAAACATATGAGACAAGGATAAGTTTAAAACAGAAAATACATGTGAACAAGCAGTTTCATAAGAGCTTCTGCTCTTCACCTGCATTGGTTGCAACTTGTATGAAAAGTATTTTAAAATCTATATTCAAAACTTTATACTTAAACGTGCATTCAGTCATGCCAGCTAAACATCACATCCCTAGACTGCTTCCGCCAACACACCAGCAATTTCTTTTCACAGCTCATGTATACAGAAATAACAAGGAAAATGCAAATATTATTAAAACTATTAATCTGTCAATTTAGGATATACTGCTTATTAAATGTAGATTACACAGAAAAACAATAAAGAGACCACCATTGCCAATTCTTATAAAAAAAACTCATGACTTAATTATCTTTGGTTTTAAACAGACATCATAGTAATAGCTAAAGGGGAGGAAAAAAAACTCTGTAGCACCTCTAATTCATACTGTTTTAACATGTATCAAAACAGATGGACTAATAGTTCACTGTTGTTGACAAGACACTAAGTAATTTCATATAACACATTTTAAAAGTAATTTTAAACTACCAAAACAATTCTAGGAAACATCTTCAATGTCAAGAGCACTTCTATCTCTATTCTCTAGTTATTTAGCACATTTAAATAATAGGAAATTCCATAAAGAGTAGAATTTTCAATGTTGCAGAAAAACATTATCAAAATAATACATACAGGATCAAGTATGAAAACATACACACACACACATTTTAAGAAATAATCTCAGGAGATGCATTTAATGTTAAGTGCTGCTCAAACATGCAACAACATTATCAACTAAAACAAACACTTTAGTGTGATTTTTGTGCACAAAATTTAAATAAGAGGCATGGATTGATTGTGACAAAAGAAAATGTAATATTTCTAACTAGGCTCCTATGCAGCAAAAGCCCACTTCGTCTGTGTCCTATCTCTCATTTACCATTTCACACAGTCATACTGATCCAGTTACAAAACACAAGTTCCTAAATTTGATATTCTGTCACAAATCACTACTATCAAATATGTTTACTAATAGACTTGTTCAACATCAAGAAAAGTGAATGTACAGAATGCATGTCAACTTAAAATCTAAGTCTTATTTCATATCCTGACTGATACAGGGAGAAAATTAGAAAGGCCAAGTCCCAACTTGAAATTAATCTGGCTCCAGCTTTTAAAGATAACAGGCTGAGGTACTTATTGCCTTCTTTGCCTCAGCCTTTAGTACTTGGACCAGTTGGTCACTGGGTACCCAATTCCCCAAGCTGGAAGACAGGGATGAGAAAAGAACGGAGCCCCCATAATCCAAGAGGAGATTGTTAGTGCTACACCACTTAGATACACATGAGTTCATAGGGCCAGATGGTATCAAACCAAGGGTATTCAGGGTGGAAGTGTTCACCAAGCCACTTTGCATCATTTACGAGCAGTCCTGAATAATTAGCAAGGTCCCAATAGACTGGAGATTGGCATATCACAGAATCACAGAATATTAGGGGTTGGAAGGAACCTCTAAAGATCATCTAGTCCAATATCTCTGACAGAACAGGATCACCTAGAGTACATCACACAGGAATGCGTCCAGGTGGGTTCTGAATGTGTCCAGAGAAGGAATCTCCACAACCTCTCTGGGCAGACTGTTCCAGTGCTCTGTCACCTTCACAGTGAAAAAGGTTTTCCTTATATTTGTGTGGAATCTCCTATGCTCCAGTTTGCACCCATTACCCCTTGTCCTACCACTAGACATGACTGAAAAAAGCCTGGCTCCATCCTCCTGACACTTGCCCTTATATTTATAAGCATTGATGAGGTTGCCCTTCAGCCTCCTCTCCTCCAAGCTAAAGAGACCCAGCTCCCTCAGCCTTTCCTCATAAGGGAGATGTTCCACTCCATCATCTTTGTGGTTCTGTGCTGGACTCTTTCAAGCAGTTCCCTGTCCTTCTTGAACTGAGGGTCCAGAACTGGACACAATATTCCAGATGTGGCCTCACCAGGGCAGAGTAGAGTGAGACGAGAACCTCTCTCAACATACTAACCATACCCCTTCTAATACACCCTAGGATGCCATTAGCCTTCTTGGTTACAATGGCACATTGCTGGCTCATGGTCATCCTCCTGTCCACCAGGACCCCCAGGTGACCCTCATCCAAAAAAAAGGCCAGAAAGAGGGAAAGGCTGTAGATGTTTTGTACCTGGACTTCTATAAAGCTTTTAACATGATTTCCTACAGCATTTTCCTAGATAAGCTGGCTGCTCATGGCTTAGAAAGGTGAACTCTTCGCTGAGTAAAAAACTGGCTAGGTGGCCAGGTGGCCAGACCCAAAGAGTTGTAGTGAACAGAGTCAAATCCAGTTGGTGGCCAGTCGTAAGCGGTGTTTCTCAGGGCTCAGTATTGGCACATGTCTGTTCAGTATTTTCATCAACAATATGGATAAGGAGACCGAGTGCATCCTCAGTAAACATGCAGACAACACTAAGTTGGGAGGGAGTGGTGGTCTGCTTGAAGGTAGGAAAGCTCTGCAGAGGGACTTGGACAGGCTGGATTGATGGGCCAAAGCCAATTGTATGAGGTTCCACATGGCCAAGTGCTAAAACCTGCACTTGTGCCACAACAACCCCATACAGGCTTGGAGAAGAGTGTCTGGAAAGCTGCCCAGAGGAAAAGGACCAGGGAATGTTGGTCAACAGCTGCCTGAATAGGAGCCAGCAGTGTCCAGCTGGCCAAGAAGAACAACAGCATTCTCACTTGTATTAGAAATAGTGTGGCCAGCAGGACTAGGGAAATTACTGTCCCTCTGTACTTGGCACTGTTGAGGCTGCACCTTGCATGATGTGTTCAGTTTTGGGTCCCTTCCTACAAGAAGAAAGACACTGAATCATGTCCAAAGTAGGGCACCAAAGCTAGTGAAGAATCAAGAGAACAAGTCTTACGAGGAGCAGCTGAGGGAACTGAGATTGCTTAGTGTGGAGAAATGGAGGCTGAGGGGAGACCACATCACTCTCTACAACGATTTGAAAGGAGGTTGTAGCAAGGTGGGCATTGGTCTCCCAATTAGCAAGCAGCAGAACAGAGGAAATGGGCTCAATTTGCACCAGGGGAGGTTTAGATTAAATATAAGAAAAAAATGATTCAAAAAAAGGGTAATTAAGCCCTGGAATAGGGAGGTGGTTGAGTCTCCATCCCTGGAGGTGTTTAAGAGGCTTATAGATGTGGTGCTTAGGGTTAGTAGTGGATTCTGTAGTTAGGTCAATGGTTGGACTAGATGATCTTCAAGGTCTTTTCCAACCAGAATGATTCTGTGATTTTATGATTTTTGTAAGGGAGTCATAATGCTCTGCTCAGGTAGTCATCCCATTGGTAACAGTAATGAATTTTTTTTCCTGTAAAATAACACAAGGTGTTACAAGTAGTACCATTACAAAGGTGGGGGCAGACACCCAACACGAGGAGAAGTCTCACTGAACTTTAATTGTTTTTTGTGACTAAAACTCCTTTAAATCCTCTTTTTTTATAAACTAGGTCCTTGTTTAAAATTATTAACACAAATTTAGAAACCACTTACTAGTGGTTGCAACTAGTTTGTTGCTAACAAACATTTCTACTGGTTTACATTTCAATTATATTTCCAGATTACAACATATTTATGCTATTTATTATCAAGATGATATTTCAACTGGAGATACAAGAATTAATGTCAACATGTTGTAACACAAACTGTACTTGACAATTTTATCAGATTTTAATAACTTGAAACAAACACAATGGTTTACTTAACACTTTTACTTAGAATCACTTAGGTACAGAAGTCAACTATTCTATCAACAACACACAGATTTGTGCATTTACAACTTATTTTATACTTTGGCTAGGCAAAAAACCCAACCCAGAACAACTACAGAAAAGCAATTCAGAGTATTGCTATAAATAAAACATCAGAATATGAAGCTCCACTTCACATCCAGTTTTGGATGCCCTTCTCAGCCTGCACAATGCCACTGGAATGTTAAACACTCAAATCTAACCCTGCACCCCTGGGGAAGGTGTGAATTATAGTGAAACCTGCTCATTGTTCACAACAGAAACAGTTTTAAGTCCTGAATTAGTGTGAAAATTGCATTTAAAAAGTGTAAGTAGGCCAGTTCTCAGCTCACCACCCTCCTTTCTCCATCAAAACCAGTGTGATGGGTTGACCCTAGCTGGATGCCAAGTGCCCACCAAAGCCATTCTATCACTCCCCTTTCTCTCAACTGGACAGAGGAGAAAAAATGTAACAAAAGGCTCGTTGGTCAAGATAAGAACGGGGAGAGATGACTCAGCAATTACTGTCACGGGCAAAACAGACTTGACTCAGGGAAAAAAGCTTAATCTATAGAATCATAGAATCATTAAGGTTGGAAGGGACCTTTAATATCATCAAGTTCCAACCCCTCTGCCATGAGTAGGAAACCCTACCACTAGATCAGGTTGCACAAAACCTCGTTCAGGGATGAGGCATCAACAATCTCCCATTCCAGTTCCTCACCACCCTTATAGTGAAGAATTTCTAATATCTAACCTAAATCTCCCCTCTCTCAATTTAAAACCATTATCCCTTGTCCTATCACTATCTTCTCTGATGAAAAGTCCCTCCCCAGTTTTCTTGTAGGCCCCCTTTAAGTACTGGAAGGCTGCTATAAGGTCTCCTTGGAGACTTCTCTTCCCTAGGCTGAACAACCCAATTCCCTTAGCCTGTTTTCATAGCAGAGGTGCTCCAGGCCTTTGACCATCTTGGTGGCCCTTCTCTGGACCCTCTCCAACAGGTCCGTATCTTTCTTGTGCTGAGGGCCCCAGAATTGTACGCAGTAGTCCAGGTGGAGTCATTTCTTACCAACCAAATCAGAGTAGGGTA